GCTAGGGTCTACTTTAAATAGGAATTTTAAATCTATTCGGTCTCATACAAAAGGATGCCCCATGCTGGAATCGAACCAGCGACCTTCTGTTTACAAGACAGACGCTCTGCCACTAAGCCAATGAGGCATGCACGGAAACGATATGCTGCTGGTTCATTTTTGTTAAACACTTGCTTTTCTAGATTTCCTGTTTTCGTCCTCATAGAAAACGTTATCCTCATTGCCTAATAAATGCAGGCAAAAGGAATGCCTCATGCTGGAATCGAACCAGCGACCTTCTGTTTACTAGACAGACGCTCTGCCCCTGAGCCAATGAGGCACACGCAAACACGCGTATGCTCACGTACGCCACATCTGGATGGATCATGGGGCTAGGGTCTACTTTAATAGGAATTTTTAAATCTATTCGGTCTCATACAAAAGGATGCCCCATGCTGGAATCGAACCAGCGACCTTCTGTTTACAAGACAGACGCTCTGCCACTAAGCCAATGAGGCATGCACGGAAACGATATGCTGCTGGTTCATTTTTGTTAAACACTTGCTTTTCTAGATTTCCTGTTTTCGTCCTCATAGAAAACGTTATCCTCATTGCCTAATAAATGCAGGCAAAAGGAATGCCTCATGCTGGAATCGAACCAGCGACCTTCTGTTTACTAGACAGACGCTCTGCCCCTGAGCCAATGAGGCAGTGGGTCATTCGGCTGAAGCCCACTTTATTTAGGGTTTTTTCCATCTATTCAGTGTCGTACAAAAGAATGCCCCATGCTGGAATCGAACCAGCGACCTTCTGTTTACAAGACAGACGCTCTGCCACTAAGCCAATGAGGCATGCACGGAAACGATATGCTGCTGGTTCATTTTTGTTAAACACTTGCTTTTCTAGATTTCCTGTTTTCGTCCTCATAGAAAACGTTATCCTCATTGCCTAATAAATGCAGGCAAAAGGAATGCCTCATGCTGGAATCGAACCAGCGACCTTCTGTTTACTAGACAGACGCTCTGCCCCTGAGCCAATGAGGCACACGCAAACACGCGTATGCTCACGTACGCCACATCTGGATGGATCATGGGGCTAGGGTCTACTTTAAATAGGAATTTTTAAATCTATTCGGTCTCATACAAAAGGATGCCCCATGCTGGAATCGAACCAGCGACCTTCTGTTTACAAGACAGACGCTCTGCCACTAAGCCAATGAGGCATGCACGGAAACGATATGCTGCTGGTTCATTTTTGTTAAACACTTGCTTTTCTAGATTTCCTGTTTTCGTCCTCATAGAAAACGTTATCCTCATTGCCTAATAAATGCAGGCAAAAGGAATGCCTCATGCTGGAATCGAACCAGCGACCTTCTGTTTACTAGACAGACGCTCTGCCCCTGAGCCAATGAGGCAGTGGGTCATTCGGCTGAAGCCCACTTTATTTAGGGTTTTTTCCATCTATTCAGTGTCGTACAAAAGAATGCCCCATGCTGGGAATCGAACCAGCGACCTTCTGTTTACAAGACAGACGCTCTGCCACTAAGCCAATGAGGCATGCACGGAAACGATATGCTGCTGGTTCATTTTTGTTAAACACTTGCTTTTCTAGATTTCCTGTTTTCGTCCTCATAGAAAACGTTATCCTCATTGCCTAATAAATGCAGGCAAAAGGAATGCCTCATGCTGGAATCGAACCAGCGACCTTCTGTTTACTAGACAGACGCTCTGCCCCTGAGCCAATGAGGCAGTGGGTCATTCGGCTGAAGCCCACTTTATTTAGGGTTTTTTCCATCTATTCAGTGTCGTACAAAAGAATGCCCCATGCTGGAATCGAACCAGCGACCCTCTGTTTACTGGACAGACTTCTGCCCCTGAGCCAACCAATGAGGCACCCTTCTCAATGATCATGCTCAACTTGATATTTTTCCTGAGCGAGTCTGATTCTCCGCCAACAATTTTCCGAAAAATGATTGATGAATTTCCCGTAATGAAGTAAGACAACACGCTAGTTTTTTTGAATAATTAAGCATGTTAAGGAGTGATGTCTAGTTGTTTTTGAAGCAAATCTTGGTATGGAGAAATGCGGATGACTGCGAAGCTGTACAGTTCAAAACACTAGCAATCGAGCACTTGTAGTAATAAAGATTTCAGCAGTCGTGCCTCATATGTGACAGTGTTTTTGATGGGGTCCACCTGACCATCCGACAACGGTCCGTCCACCACTGTTGGAATCCCTCGTCCATGAACTGAAATAAAATGACGTTGGGCAATTACTTATCCTCTCTCTCTACCATCTCTCTCTCTTGAGCTAGCGCAACCGTGCATAGAGCTTGCAACTCTTGCCAGGGCAGCTAATAACTTCTTAAAAGATAGAAATATGCAAGCGGGTGATTGAGGTTTTTTCATCTTTTACTTTTTAGTTCTGTCAAGTCAGTCAAAGAACGAAATGTTCGCAATTTAACAAGTAGGGTTTGTCCAAGAAGTGATCGAATTTCTTCAGATGGTGAATTTTTGCTCTGAACACTCTGACATTTTTAGCACATCAATACCTTGTAGAGGTTTTTTGCTCTATTGAACTGCTTGTTCTTTCGTTTCTTCCTTTTGTAGGCTCGAAAGGGAGGGGGGGGTGAAGTCAGTCGGACAAAAAATTAGCTTTAAACCGACAAGTTACTCATGCTCTGGTTCCTTGTGCGAATGATCTTTTCTTGGTTTTTTCTATGTACTGGTAATGGTTTCTGCAAAATTCCCCTATTAGAGTAGCTAAACGCCTGCCAGTCGTTTTTCAATTTGGTTTTCTGGCGTAGAACTGCCGTGGTTAAGTTATACGACGTACTAATCAAAATCTGAACCTAAACATTTTCACGGCAGGCCTTGAAAAATTGGTGAATTGTGTAAGATAAGTTACGAGGCGAATTTTGGTGCGGTTCTGACTGATTTTTCCTTTTTCAGAGCATTTCCATTTTTTTTTTATTATTTTTATTTCAGTTCATGTTACTAAACTTCTAAGTCACAGAATATCCTAGTCATTTGAGATTCACCTGAAAACCCATCTCCATACATGTATTGACTCATTATTTTTCTCACTGTGTATTGTATTTTTTCTAACGCTTGCCTTACGCAACCTAATAAATAAACAAATAGAACATAACAATTCTTTTAGATTGCTAGGTGACCATAGGATACATTTGGCTAGAGGAACCCTTATGTTGGATCAGTTCTTGACGGCGAATGAAATCGAAGTGGGAATCGGCAACATATTTGCGAAGTGGGAAGACTACACGTGGCGTTATTTCTCAAACAATACGGAGTTTATTGTTAGTCTGGAAAAATACTTCTGAAAATGGGAGCGCCATAAGCTCGTAAACTTCTTTTTTCCTCATCAATATAGTTTTCTACTTCTCAATTCTTGAACGTTTTTATTTATTAATTGATTTGATTTATTTCAGGAGTTATCACTTAGTTTTATGGATTCATTAAAGAATGATGAACCACTTACTTACAGTAGGGCGTCTACATTACAACCATACAATCGAGGATGTGAAGGTATTGCATTTCCAGTTATGTTCAAGTTCGACAGAAGCAGTGTATCATATTTTCTATCATTATCAAGAACTTGGGGAGGCGTCTAGGAACGTTGTTCAGGAAGAGAAAGGAAGTGACAGGATGTGTTCGTATGAGGTGCTTTGGGCTCGTTGTCCGGCCCCAAAATCTTAACTAAGATGAGGTTTGATTTTTCTGTTCGATACCAATCTTGGAGGTTCGAAGTGGAGCAAGTAAAACTGTATAACCATGTCGAGATTGAAGGAGAACCGTTTTTGGACTACTAATATGCGGCTTCTTTGAGTTCCTCGTCAAGAGCGAAGTCGTTCGGCTGTGCCATGTATTTCAGAATGGTTCTGCATGACATGTGAGAACCACAGAACCACGGCCCGTTTTCTCCTGAAAAATTCTCTGAATACCAAAAAAGGGGGTCCCTAGTTCAAAACAGTTTAGACAGCATCCCGGATGGGTGAGAAGATCTCCTTAGGGCGTCTACGGTTGTAGGCAAGGCTCAGCAAAGATGGTCTATGGCAGTGGGTGGAGTCCGACCAATGGGCGGGGCGTCAAGACCTCTTTTGAAATTATCGGTTTTGGCACCCGAATGAGACTGGGCAATCATAGTATTGTTTGCGTGCTGTAAGTAAAAGTGGAAATTGCATCTGGTCTCATATTACAATCGAAATCGATCGAGAATATCGATTTTGCTTGAAAGGCTTATGCAGTGGGTAATAACGCTGTTATTGAGTGATATGTGTGGAAGTTGGAATTTGGGTCACATGCTATCGATCGATATGCTATCGAAAAGATCGGTTTCTGCGCCTAAAGCTTGAATGAGATGATGAATCGTATTGACCAGCCGTAGCGGGACAATAAATAAAAAGTACATGAAACCCGGTACCATCTAAGTTCGAGTTAAGAATTCCGAAAAATGTGGCGAAATGCCCAAAGTGTAGACTTCAAATCCAGTGTCTAAAAATGATGTTCCTATAGACTCAACATCAATCAAAAGCGACGCTATCTTTGAAATATACACGTAGGTGCCTAACGAATGACTACTCCTCATGAATGTGAGGGTTTTTTTGGTAAACCCCATTAGTATATGGAGGTTCCGAACTTTCGACGCACAATTTCTGGTAGAAAAGTTATTTCCCAATCAAGGTTTCCGAGTTCTGGATAGTGAGGTTTCCGTATTTCTCATGATTTTGCGTATACTATGTAAATTTAGGGCAGTCTTCTTCTCCACAGATCGCGTTGGGTTGAAAACGAGAACTTTTCAAACTTTCAACAGCCACTTTATATTCTGACGGTACCGACAGGAGGACTGTCGCGCGGCGAGAAGGCAGAGACGCAGACTGGTCAGCGGACGAGTCGCAGCGCGTACTGTGTGATGTGGACGTACTATGGTACATTCTATTTAACTTGACGCGAAATCGCTACAGTACGCGCTGACTCGTCCGCTGACCCGTCTGCGTCTCTGCCTTCTCGCCGCGCGACGGGCCTCCGGTCGGGTACCATATTTTGAATATAAAATTCGTAGTACCGTAACAAAGATACTTACTTTCACATCTACTCAGGAACTTGAGGCACTCATGCACGACCGAATCGCGTATAACAACCAGGTGCTTCGACATTGTCTCTAGAATTCATTATTTTCCATTAGTTTTCAGCACTAAAGGGAAGGAATACATAAAATGTGATTCAATGGGTATTTATCGATCGCTGTCAGTTTCCATCCCCGTCCAGTCAAAATGAACATACACTAAGGTAGACCATTTTGTAGGTCCCTTTGAGATGTTCGTGTCATTCCGTGTACT